ATTTGAGGTGCATGTGTGGTAGCAAACCACACTTGTGGAGTAAGTGGCTGGCGCTTGCAGAATTTTGGTACAACACCAATTTTCATTCTGCCACGCAAATTACTCCTTTTGAAGCAGTTTATGGTCAGGCGCCTCCCATACATCTCCCTTATCTTCCCGGTGAGGCTAAAGTGGCAGTGGTTGCTAGAAGTCTGCAAGAACGTGAACAAATGTTATTAGTCTTGAAGTTCTTTCTACTCAGGGCCCAGCATCGTATGAAACAGGCGGCTGATAAACATAGGTCTGAGAGGAGCTTTGAAATTGGTAACTCTGTTTTTGTGAAGCTTCAGCCTTATCGCCAAGGGTCTGTGGTGGTTAGAACAACTGAGAAACTGGCGCCAAAGTACTTTGGACCCTACAAGATAGTGGATCGATGTGGTAAGGTCGCTTACAAGTTACTTCTACCTCCAGGGTCTTTAATACACCCTGTTTTCCATGTGTCTCAGTTAAAGGCCATGGTAGGTACAGCGCACACATCGACTCAACTACCCTCCATTGTATCTGACGTCTTACTCAAGGAACCTGTCGCTATTCTGTCACGGCAAATGGTGAAGAGACAGGGTAGAGCGGCTACAAAGGTTTTGGTGCAATGGTCCAATGAAACTGAAGATGAGGCAACTTGGGAGTTCTTGTTTGATTTGCAGAGGAGGTTTCCATCTTTTGAACCTTGCGGTCAAGGTTCTTCATCGGGGGAAGCTTTGATATAGCATTCTAGAAGCTTGGCTCACACGTGCGGAAGGAGTGAAGAAGCATGTGCGCAGTGATGAGCTGGCTTCAAAAGGCAACTTGCGTTTTAACGGCGTTGGATGTTGACAGCATAAACCGTTAAAACGTTGACGTGGTTACTTTTTAGTATAAGAGCAATTTGTTAGCTCACGCTTTCTTTATGCAAAGTTTCTGAACCTGTATTGTTCTAGAACTTTCTCTTCCTCATCGTTTTGCCGGAGCTTCTCATCGGAGTCTCTTGCAGGTGAGAAGTATTACTGCGTTTTAGGAACGTTGTAACAGTTATCGTAATCGTTTAATAAAAGATACTCTGTTCTTACTCTGTTTACGGTTTCAGTTTCCCTTATTTTTTTTATATTTCTGGTTAATCCAAAAATTATGGATCTCTTTATAGTCTTCTCGGATAGGAAACTAAGCTATGATAAATCTATAGTGTTTTTTAGTCATCTTTTCGGCGTCGGTATTCGAATTAGTGACTTCGAAAATATTTTTAATATCCTTTAATTTGGATGATCAACTTATTAGAGTACCAATTTGAGAATTGAGAACTGTTGATCAAATTAATGTTAACGGACCTGGTGCATGGCCCCAGACTAAGTCGATCTATTAAAATATATAATTTGGAAATCTTTTGTGCCCTTCGCTTTCCATTGTTGATATGAATCAATCAATCCTCTGACCTTTACAATATATGTACACAACCGATAACGAAATATTTATATGCTAACTTTTCGATAGGAACTGAGATAAACTAAGCTTTCAAGTTTCAATTTCCATATATATTCGGGCATAACAAGTTAAATTAGTTTTCTGTCTACAGTCGGTATTCAAATCCAGCCTACGTTAACCTATATGATTTTTACTACAACGTATTGTTGAATATATTTACCCGAGTCTTAAAAAATATTGGAATTTATTCAATAGTTATAAATGGAAGACAAAACATTGGTCTTTTAGAAGGAGAAACAACATCAAAAGCAACAAGCCAAAGTGAAAATATTGCACATAAATATTTAAGTACACACGGAACTACATTTTTTATATTGAAAGTCTCGAAAGGGCCGGGAAAGCTTTTTAAACCGTGTGGATACACTTATTAAATTGAATCTTCCTTTGAGACTCGCTTCATCATGTATATATATGGTTAGTATATTGGTGGAGAGGGAGAGCTATAGTAAGGCGGTGGTGATGGAGAACTATAGACATATGGAGGAGACTTGTAAACATATGGAGCCGGCGGGGGAGAGTAACCATAGACATATGGAGGAGGCTTGTAAACATATGGAGCCGGCGGTGGAGAGTAGTTATATACATATGGAGGAGGCTTGTAAACATATGGGGCCGGCGGTGGAGAGTAGTTATAGACATACGGAGGAGGCTTGTAAACATATGGAGCCGGCGGTGGAGAGTAGCTATAGACATACGGAGGAGACTTGTAAACATATGGAGCCGGGGGTGGAGAATAGCTATCGACGTAAGGAGGTGGTGGAGGAGACTTGTAAACATATGGAGGAGGTGGTGGCGAGCTGTAGACATAAGGAGGTGGTGGTGGAGACTTGTATACATATGGAGGAGGCGGTGGCGAGCTGTAGACATATGGAGGTGGTGGTGGAGACTTGTAAACATATGGAGGAGGTGGTGGCGAGCTGTAGACATAAGGAGGTGGTGGTGGAGACTTGTATACATATGGAGGAGGCGGTGGTGAGCTGTAGACATATGGAGGTGGTGGTGGCGAGCTATAGACGTAGGGAGGTGGTGGAGGAGATTTGTAAACATAAGGAGGGGGTGGTGGTGAGCTGTACACATAAGGAGGCGGTGGTGGAGATTTGTAGACATATGGAGGTGGTGGTGGAGAATTGTAGACGTATGGAGGTGGTGGAGGAGACTTGTAAACATATGGAGGAGGTGGTGGAGAGCTATAGACATAAGGAGGAGGTGGAGGAGATTTGTAGACATATGGAGGCGGTGGTGGAGAACTGTAGACGTAAGGTGGTGGAGGAGGAGACTTGTAGACATAAGGAGGAGGAGG